TTTTTATATACATATACATATATATATGTATATGTATATAAAAAACTACCTATTCAAATCTGAACACGGAGATCCATTAGCAAGATGTACTAAAGAAATACAAATAACCAAAAAAAAAAAAGAAAAATCTGGAAAAACACTAAAAAGGTTAATACATTTATTTTCCGTTAATCGATTGCTGTTAAAACACCAATTTTGGGTTTATTTGTGATTGTTTTATGATCACATTATTAAGTCTGAGCATTGTAATAACGCAGAAAAGGTTCTTGTAAGTTTTACTTTCACACTGATTCCAATCATAATGCTACATCTAACTGTATTATTATTTTTCTCCTTGAAATCTGGTTCAAAAGACCATGTGTTATACAACAACACAAAACAACGATTTTTCTGTCCAGTAAACATTAGGACTGTAATGGACATGGATCTCTTCCTGAACGCCCCTAAATTGGCTTTTTTCTTTTCCGATTGGCCAGAGGCAGAATTCTGCCTCCTCTGATTGGACGATACAACTGCCCGTCAAATCCTAAGGGATCTATTGAATGCAAACGATAAGGCTAAGATACAAATCAGGAAAAAATAACAAGTCATCGAAGTTTTATCTATACATATCTACATGTTTATAGCTGGTATTGATTTTTTTAGAGTTTTGCTAAATAAATACATAAAGTTACCTTAAAATGAAACAGGTTCGGAACATGAACCGGGGTCTTTCTTTCCCTTTCTCCCCTCCAGTCGAGGTGATAAACAGTTTCCTCCTTATTTTTCTACACCGGTGTGTGAAACATCACTCCAAGCCTTCTTCCTTCACCCTTACCGTTGATATGCGGCTACATCTGGAAGAGCTAAGCGCATTGGCAGCGGAGCCTGGCCGGCTGTGTCGCTTCCAGGTTGCTAGTTGCCAGAGGCCGATGACATTGCAGCAGCGGCTGGAGAAAGTCTGAAAATCATCCGCAAAAAGCCACCGACCGACAAACGTCAACAAAACACAAAACACGTGACCACATTGGGAAGCGTCACATGATTCTAGTTACTGAGATTTTATATATATATATATATATATATATATATATATAAAAGCAATTGTTAAAGTGTGTTGTTTTTAACCCTTTTGTGTTTTATATAGAAATATATAGAAATCTATATGGATATATAATATATATATAATCTAAAAATATATATATGCATACATGTATATACATACATATATAGATATCATATATATGCTTACATATGTATATATAATATATATAATCTAAAACAAAAAATATATATATATATCTATATAGATATAGCTATATAGATATATATATATATATATATATATGTAAATACATTAAATCACTGATAGAAATAGAGAAATATCCTTGGAAGAACTCTCCAGCTGAAGTTTTATCTTATTTAATCTCTGGCATCCTCACACCAACTGAGTTTTGTCTCCTCCTTTTCCCTGTTTTTCCATTAATTCATATGTAGCATTATTTGTAAAGTAAATTTACTATTAATCTTTGGCATATCAGCAACCATCAGGTTGTTGCCATACTAACTTTATTATCATCACTAACAATAAAAATTTTACATTTAACCACTCTTTTTGTTGTTACATTCAAAATATACTGAGAAATGTTTCTCTGTTTAGCAATACTTGGTTTAAGTTTCTCCCCATGCAATTTTTTTTTTGTCTTGCACTGTGAACAAGACCATAGAATGTGATTAGCTGCAAAAAATAAAGACGATGTTTCAATCATTGTTTCTTGTTTTAGCCCGAATGTCTTTAATCATGTGCTGTTGTAACAATGTTTAAAATTTTACATACAAAGCTACAGCAAACATTATTCAAAAATGGAAGGGAGAAAAAAATGAAAACTGAAGCAGAGGTAGAGACATTAAAGCATTAGTTCCCATTATCAAATGGCCAGATCCAGCTGATTTCCATTATGCATCTTGATTGTTGGCCTCCAATTATGCAATCTGCATGTCATATCCATTACTGGATTAATTGCGTTTTTGGTGCTTTCTCATGGAGAGAAGGGATATTAGACGATGCAATGGCAGGACGTGAATTTTTCTGTTCGATGATACTTAACGTTTTTACCAAAATCAGCAAATAAAAGAATATCGGTGCTAAAGAGATGTAGTTAAGAACTATAGGTTGTTAATAGGGATAATACTTATGTTTCATATTGAAATTTCACACATTTAAATTCTTTATCATATTTTAAAGCTTTAAATATAAAATGTGATCATATTGCAGGTATTTATTTACAGTGGCTCTTTAAACATGGGACTGTGGGGGGGGAAAGAGGGGGGAAAAAACAAAAATGTGTATGTAGTCTATTTTTATGTATTTCCATATTCATCCAGACCTGAAAAACACAAGTATCAAATTTGACACTTTTCCAAATCGAAAAGCAGTAGACTAATTTAAACTCACCACCTGACTATGGCCTACAGCAGTAGCAGCATCATGCTGTGGGGATGCTATTTAGTACGACTTTTAAGATTTCCATTCATGGACAAACAGACTCTAACCTAAGAAAATAAAACCTAAGAATCTGACAGGCTAAATATGTATCGTTTGATTGTTTGAGTGAAATAAAATCTTCAGTTTTCTCCAGGCTTTAAATCATTCTGGAATTTTCAGCCCCAAGATGAAGAATGAGTGTGGTTGCATCATGGTATGGGGTTAAATTTGTACTGGAGAGGATACCACTGACATACTAGGTTTTTATGACACTCATACTGGATATGCTCAATGGGATTCCTTCTGCTTGCTGGGGAAAAGGATATAAAAGATTCTAGAGCTGCTCAAAATAAATGAAACTATTGATTTTCTCAAGCTTTATTATTGCTACCCTGTGGTCACTGTTTTTTGATTTTAGCTCAAAATTGACAATTTTAAATTAATGATAATCATACTTTTGTTAACTATATATTTTCTCATGGTTGACAACTGTGGCTATTAATATAAAATAAAGCAAATTACAGTATTTTTACCATATTCTCATGTTTTACTTCAATATGGTACATTTCACCAGGTGAGAGCGGGGACAGGTTTATGTGTGTCAATGCCTTTATACAACGGTGTGTTCTTGTGCTGAGGACACAGTGAACAGTTTACCTATATGAAAATTATTTATATTTTTTAACAAAACTGTCAATTATGGAACTTTATTATAAGAACCAGTTACTATTTGTCATAACCCTGAACATTTATTAATACTGGCAGTTTTATATATATAAGATGTACAATGCTCAAACTGTCTACAGGTCCAGGATCAGTTTCAGCATCTGTCTCTGCATATCAGAAGAAAACTGTAATGAAAAATGCTGTTCTGGATCAGCCTTAAGTGGTTTTGACCAACTGATTGATAAAAGCTAATCATATTAAAAATTGGTTTGCCTGATGCAAATCTCTTCGTAGCAGTCAAATACAAAGAATGTTCCTACTTGTTTGCAGACACATAAAACTGAGGAGAAAAATATTTTCAAAGGGAGAATTATTACCATTTGTGTTTTTAAAAATTGTAGAAAACTGATGGGTATAAACACATTGTTGTCCATGTATGGTACTAAAATAGGCATTTTAAAATGATTTAACTAAATAAAATTACAATTCAACAGCAAAGTAGTAAACTTGACTCCAAAAAGAAATCATAACTTTTTTTTTATTTCAAACTTAATACAAAAATTACACATCAACATCAACGAAAACACAACTATAGAAAAATGCTTAAGAAAAAACAAACAAAAGAAACTTTTTGGGAATAAAGCAAATGCGATTTCAAGTAGTAGTGGCATGGCCTTTGTCTTTTCCCCCCATTTATACATAGAATATGTACATTATAATCCAAGATAATAAAAAAAAAACATAACAATTACAACCAGTCTGGAGTAACAGTTTAAAACGTATTTACAGTCAGTCACTAAGACGACATGCCTTGTCTATCCTGAATGAGGCAAAAAAAAACCCTGTTAGGTTTCCTCTAGTGTGCTGAATAAAGAAACACATCCATCAAAAATATTTTTCAATACTAAACATTAAATAATAAAAATAGGAAGAATGGTACATTCCTATGCACGGGTTTGATGATAAAAGTGCTCGACTTGATTCAGTTGGAGGACACCTCACTTTGCTTTTCAGCTGTGCATCTCTGAAAAATGTGAAGATCCAGCAAGTAACTAGAATTTTATTTTGCCTCATCATCAGAGCACGTTAGTGAAGGAGATAACAGCTGTATGGGAATCTCGATGGGATTAGTGTGCCACAGGTAAACAAACATCATTGATCAACAGCACAGCTTGAGTAGAACTAAAGCTATTTGAGTCTCCAAAGTGACCGATTTCACAGCTCTTATTTTAAACACAGATCTCCACGCAGAACCTTTGGAGAAGCTGAAGGAAAGGAAAACTGGATGAAAGTTTTCAGATTGCAGATATTTTCAAGAAAATAACAGTAGTCACCTTTAGCCATAATTCATCAAATACAGTACAGACAGTGCATAACGGAGGTTCTGTTTCCTTTCGAACGTTATCTGAGATAGGTTGTTGAAAAATCACATGGCTCCTGAGGAAAGTCGAGCCATTTTCCAGTGGTTTTAGAGCCGACTGTGGTTCCTGGGAGGTATTTCTACTCGTCTGCGTCTGTAAACATCTAACTGAAATGTAATGTGATGCAAAAGGAAGGCGTTTAAGCGGCTCATATTCTTGCCTCACCCTTAAACTCTTGAAGTCTTTGATTTTCTAGCAGTTTTAAAAGACCAGCTCTGACAAACAGGATAACTGAACATTAAAGACGATTTCAAAGTGCTGAAGGTTAGAAACCGACAGAGTGGTCTGAGTGTTGGTCAAAACTCAAAGGCTCAGGAAACCTGCACTCGCTGAGTAATCGTCTTCCAAATCCTCCTCTTCCCTTTTCAACTCGCCTCCACTGTGGGCCGCTACGTTCTTCCTCTTAACCTGTCTAGTGGAGGTCCCCCGAGGCCTCTGCATGGGCACTAACAGGCGGAACCCTGGTTGGGCAGCGGCAGAGGCTGCGCCAAGGGAGGTGGTAAAGGTCCTAAACGTGCGGGTCATGATGGAGGACGAAGAGCAGGTGGATGAGGGGCTGATGCTTTGGACGGATGAGTATCCTGAGCTGTGCAGATCTGCAGATGAGGCAGATGGTTCTTCTCCTGGGTAAACTTTGCTCCGTTCACTATCGGCTTCACTGAAGCTGTCGTCGTCGCTGGAGAGAGCTCGGCAGTGCTCCATTTTATCATCTCCATCAGTCAGGGTGTGCAGCTGGACGGAGATCATCGAAGCTGTTGAAGTAAATAAATAAAAGGGTCAAAACATCATTGAGATGTGATCAAAACAATCCGCACAGCTGTGGCTCCTATAAGTGTATTTAATATTTCTTAGGCTATGTTCACACTACAGGCCTTAATGCTCAATTCCGATTATTTTGTGAAATCAGATTTTTTTGCTTTCCCGTTCATATTTCCA